CAGAGGCAGCCCTGGACAGAGTACTTAGACATCTTCAGTTCACAATGTGCCATGATAAAATGTAAACCACAGATCTTTTGCCTTTAGAGCTATTTCTTTTAAACACTATTAACCATATATATGTTATTAACAAATACAGAACATTTTATAACATTAAAAAAATTTCATATAAAGTGTCAACATTAAGAGAAGATGGAAGAAATATCTAGAGTAACTTATATTTTCACAAGTACTCTTTGAGAGAAATCAAAGGGACTTTGATAGTTTAAACTATTGAAAAACAGACTATCGATTTAAAAAAAAAAAAAAGAAAAATACTGTCATTGTAACCACATGTAAGGCTGTTCTTTATAAACTCAGCTACATTCAGTTTGAGATTACTGGGGAAATAAAACACAGATTCTCCAACACGTATTTTGTAAAAAACAAGAGAAAACACGAAACCAAAAACTAATGGAAACCCAGACTTGAGAGACACATATTTTGTTCTGTTCTAGACTTTGATCCATGTCCATGTATGACTAGTTTTTTGGGGTGTTTGTTACATTCCTAATCCCAGCTTCAAAGCATCTGGTAGATCTGTTAGCCAAGTGTGTATCAAAGTCTGTACATATGGTTACTGCCAGTGGAGTTCAGAATTAGAGCAGAAAGTGATGACTCAGACCAATGGTTAATATTTCAGTCATAGAATACTGGATTGGAAATGATTTTATGTATCATCTGATCCAACCTTTCTTGGCAAAAACACTGTGTAGACAAGATGGCCCAGCACCCTGTCCAGCTTAATCTTGAACTATCCAAATTTAATTAAAAGTTCTAGGTAATCATTTATATTGGTTGTCCTTTAAGCTATTGCCTAGTTTAGACAACAGATACTCGGACAAACTATGAAGACAGAAATTTATACTGTTTCCTGGTTTGTGCACTAACAATAAAATCCACTCACAAGATGGAATAGTTATGATAGAATTGTCAAATTTTTCTCTTGACTTTTATGAAAAATAATATTGGAGCACTTAAAGAAAAGACACTATAAGCGTACTGAAAAAAAAAACATAATTATTCCCACTGTATCATGTTTGGCCTCCTAGTCATGATTTCACTTTTGTTTAACAGTGAAAACAGGAAATAAAGCAGAGATTGATGGACTTCACTGAGCTATTGTACCATGACTGTAGGAAAAAATAAATAAGCTAATCCCGTAATTTACTTTGGGGGTGGAAAGTTTGGGAAATAGGACTGAGGAATTCTAAGCATGTAAAGGGTGGTGAGTTGGTATTACTATATTGCCTTACCAGTGTTACTGATCCTAATCTGATCACCTAGAGAGAAGGGAACTCAGTCCAATCCTTGCTGTAAAAATAACAATAAAGCTTTTAGGTAGCACTAAGACTAGTGAAGGTTATTGGTAACTGAACACCAGAGGGCAATAATCCAATTATGCTGCTCTCATATCCCAAATCTTCTTGGCTTTACCATTGGAAGACCAAGGGGGGGGAGGAAACACCACAACTTCACAAATAACTGATCCAGTTTTTTCCTAATCATTTCTTTTCACTGACTCTCCTTACATAGTGATATCTCATCTACCAAGAATTGAAGAAGATAATATATACAGTGCATGTAGAGTGAGGTATGTGACATTTGGTGAGCCAGGCCTTCTTTCTTTTTTTTCTGTAATAAATAGCTCACAGTATAAAGCTTAAATGGGCATTTAGTTTGCAGGCAGTTTTGGAGGAGAAAAAGAAGTTGTAGATTCCTCTCTCAATGCCTCCAGTATAATATTGCAGCACTTTGTAGCAAAAGAATGGGAATGGGAAAGATGGACAGTGGATAATGCTGCCTCAGGACTTCATATCTTACAGACTAAGAAGTGCATACACAACCAAAGTTTCTCCTTTTTTTTTGTTTATGAAAGCTTTCTCAGAAAGTGTAGCTACTGCCTCACTCTCTGTTTTCCACAAAATTTGGTCTTGTGTTCTTTCAGTGACATTCCAAGGCCTCCTTGCTATTAAGAAAACCTCAATGTGACTTGACACTTTGAACTTGGAGACAGATATAAGTGGGTCTGACGGGAAGTCTTCCAAAGTGTAATTGAGACTGTTAAGTTTTTCAATGCAGCCTTTTCAAAAGATGTACAGCATCCAGTAAAAAGAAAAAAAAAAAGTGAAATCTATAAAATAATAACATTAATAACACTGAGCATTTACCAAAAATTACCCCCGGACTGACCCCAATGACATTTAGCCTACCCAAAACATCACCTCCTAACTTCACATTCCTCATATGAGCTAGTCTTGGAAAGTATGTTTGACTTAATCAAAGCTGTATTTACTGGACAACTGCTTTAAAATTCTTCCTGTGACTACAGTACAAGGTAACAGTAGTTGTATGTATTGAATTCAGTGGTCAATATATCAAATGAGTGCTTGAGACAGAAGAGTGTTTGAAGAGGAGGGGAAAGAAGAGAGGGTGAGTACATTCACAATCAGCACCTAAGCAAGCTATTCCATCTCTCCAATGCCACAGCAGATAAAGCAAATTACAGTTATTTAATTTCTGCTTGGACAATAAAGAATGGATTTTTTCAACTCCTGTTTTCCATGTCAGACTCAACCACTTCTGAAGTGAATGCACCATCAGGGGCAGAAGAAACCACAACCTCTGCTTGGCTCTGCAGGAGAGGCGACGTGGGTTCATCTCATGTCTGACCCTTTTCTGCAACAAGATACAGCCAAAACTCTCATTCATCTCTCTAAACCATATTTGTGTTGGACAGTTTCTAACAGCATTATTTCCATGCCTGTTCTCCACTACAGTATTGTAAGACGAGCATGAAAAATTATTTGTCTGTCTTCCGTTCTTTTTCTCCTTTCTCCACCTTGTGTTTTACCTTCACTAGGGATGTACCTGATCTGGAAAGTGCAGCTGAAGATGATGAAGCTCACGCTGGCTGGAAGTTGTAACTCTGGTGCTGACTTAGAATTCGAAGCCCTGGTCCAAAAAAGCACTGATGTGTAACAAATTTAAAACCTGTCGTAATGTCCTGATCTAAACCTGCTGCTCACATTACTTAGTGACAAGTGAACACTATCCTGAAAGAGAATGTATGCATCAGCTAATAAAAGACTAGGTTCAATATCCAGAGCTGACCTTCTAGTTCTATACACAATCAAAGGAAACTGTGAATCCCAAAATAATATCAACTTTAAAGAGATTCCGATATGAATTCAGTTTGAATTCAAGTGTGTCAGAAAGAAAGAGAGAAATACATCTAAAAGAGCAAAATACCCTCTCTTCTCTATCCTGGTTGCTCCTCTGAGCCTGCTTTGATTTTCATCACATTTCGCATTGATTTTCAGGTTCAAATAAAGGCACGATCCTACTGAGTTCCTCTGCAGCTGATGTTAAAACAGAAACCATATAAATAATTGATTTTTTTTTTTTTTTGGTTCAGTAGCCAACAGAAAAAAAAAAAATCCCACAAGTTAGTGGTTATTGTTTTGGGTCTGTCCCAAACTGAAATGTTTCCACATACTCAGCCAATTAAGGCAGATCATTTGAGATTAAACAAAACATTTCATTCAAGCAGAAATAAATCAGACATGCTTAATAATGCCAGCAGGCCAGAGTCAGAAAACAGTCAGGGACAAGAAAAACCCTGCATGTGCCTGCCCCTGTGTACCAAAGGTGGTGACCCTGTGGCTCTCTGGTTGCAGAGGACCTGCAGACATTCCAAGGACCGTTCCCAGGCCAGGCAGCAGGGCTGGTTTTTGCGGGAACGTGCTGGCGGCGTCCTCTGAACCCTCCTCTGGAAGGAGGGAGCCAGGAAGGGCCAACACTGCTTGCTTGGATCAGTGACATAGAATCATAGAATCACAGAATCAGCTGGGTTGGAAGGGACCTCAGACATCATCAAGTCCAACTCTTGATCCAACCCCGCTGTGGTTCCCAGCCCATGGCACTGATGCCACATCCAGTCTCACCTTAAAAACCTCCAGGGATGGTGAATCCACCACTTCCCTGGGCAGCCCATTCCAGTGTCTGATTACCCTCTCTGGAAAGAAATTCTTTCTAATATCCAACCTAAACCTCCCCTGGCACAGCTGAAGATTGAGCCCTCTTGTCTTGCTGATGGTTGCCTGGGAAAAGAGACCAACCCCCCCGGCTCCCCCCTCCTGTCAGGGAGTTGTAGAGAGTGAGGAGGTCTCCCCTGAGCCTCCTCTTCTCCAGGCTGAACACCCCCAGCTCCCTCAGCCTCTCCTCACAGCACTTGTGCTCCAGTCCCTTCCCCAGCCTCGTTGCTCTTCTCTGGACCTGCTCCAGCCCCTCCATGTCCTTCCTGAGCTGAGGGCCCAGAACTGGACACAGCACTCCAGGGGTGGCCTCAGCAGTGCTGAGTCCAGGGGAAGAATCACTTCCTTGGACCTGTTGGCCACACTGTTCCTGAGCCAGGCCAGGATCCATTGGCCTTCTTGGCCACCTGGGCACACTCTGGCTCATGTTCAGCTTGGCCTGTCAAAGTGACAAGTGACATGTTCAGCCTCGGGAACAGCTGTCAGCTCCTGAACTTCTTTCAGAGTTTCCTCTCCTCAGCTTTTGAGTTACACTGTTTTGCCCCTTTATCATATGAAATAAGGAACATCACCTTTTCCTGTTGAAAAATCATCCAAAATATGGGTCACTCGAGCATTAACACTGCCCTGCTCACTCCAAGAAGAAATTTCCCTCTGTGTCGTCATCCAACGTGTAGACCAGAGCAGTAGAACAGGACATCAGGAGAACAAACCCTGTCCAGCATATGTCCTAGGACATGTCTTTCTTCATCTCGTATTGCCTGAAATAGCACATTTTGAGAAGTAAATTGTTCACCAGAAAAACAAAGTTATTCAAAGGTATTAAATTAAAATTCACATACATCTTTAATTCTGTTCGGGTTTAATGCAGACCAATGTGATAGTCCAGATTTCATCAGAAGTTATTTAAATTTCTAAACAAATGTTGTGCTTTTTGCTTGTTTTGAAAAAAATCTGGACGTTCATGTTGAAACTCCTCCTGAAAAAATAAAGTTAAATAATCTTTAAGCTTTAGGATAACTATGAGACTGATCCTCTTGCTATACAGCTTTTTCTTGAGAGGAAAAGCCTTGAATTCCAACGTATAAATTAATTACCACATAGACAAAAAGTAAACACAGTTATTAAGGCCAGTAATGGAACCATCATCCACACAAAGGATACATGTATGAGCCACCAAAAAAAGAAAAAGGTTAGTACATCTATTTTTTCAACATAATAGAGAACACCATTCTTTACTGATCACTCCTTTTAAAAGTACTTTTGACGGCCAAGTTTTGTCCAACTGTTGAATTTAATAAAAGCCGGGGGAAATTGCGTTTTCAAAGTTCACTTAACGCTTGAAGTGAAATGCAGATGTTTAACGCACCGCAAACATCGATATTCTGTTTATTTAACAGAGAGCTTGAGGAATCCATGTGCCTCTTCTTGAGTCACATTTTGCACGCTGCTTTCCCAGACTGCTCCCACTCGTGTCAAACCTTCCTGGCTTGTAAATTTGGCTCAGTGCTCACTGCACCACGGTAGTTGAGAGGAGGATTGTGAAGCTGCAGGCCTGTGAACAAAACAAGGTGTGCCTTCACAGCCCTGGATAGCAGCTCCCTGAAAAAGAAACCAGCAGGGACATGAAGGAAAGAACTCAGATTTCTGCAAGAGGTTAAACAGAATTAACTCGTGTTTCCCCTTCTGAAGTAAAATTCAGTAGCAATTCAGAGTTGTATAATTAGAGTTATCTAATTATACAAAGGCACAAAGAAAAGGTGGAAGTTTTAAAAATTGGGCTAATTTTCCATTACATTTCAGCTATTTTGAACCTTTTCTCCTATAGCTTTTTGCTTCAAACCTTATGTAGCAAAAAGCAAGTCCTACTCGCCCTGCCTCCTTTGGACAAACTGCTTCTGTTCAGGAGACAAAAGTATATGAGTCATATATCATACAATGGCAAACTTCAGCCTGGAACCTTGAGCTACCAAAAATAAATACTAAGTCAGAGGAAAATGTTAGTGGGATTTTAACAATTTGAAATAAATAATGGCCCCAATCAGGACAGCCTTCAACTACCCCAAAGTGTTTCTGCAGGGGTTTATCACACTGGTTGAATATCAGGGCTTTAGCCCTGGTGAAACATCTAAAAAACATTAATAGGGTGATAATGCACCTTCACAAGTGTGAAGATCAGGGACCAGGATTGTGTTCCTAAGCCATATTCACCCTACAAAGGAGGAACCTCACTCAGCTCCAGCAGCAAGTGAAGGCACCCTGGAACGCCACAAGCTTTTGTGTTTGCTGTGCACAGAATGGAAATGTTGCTTAAGAGTTGTTGAGCAATCTCCTGTAAGGAAATTTTGTGATTATGAGAAACCTTTTCCTAAGGGATTTTCTGTTTTGGAAGATGTTATGTGCTACGATTTGTGAGGTGTTTGAACTTGAAAATGCTCGGGGGTAGGGGCGAAGGCTTCTTCGTTGAAGCGCTTGGTTATTTATGGTTTTGTTGTTTGGGAATTTGTCTGCACTGTAAACCCAATAAACAGTTAATTCCCCATTGCCCCCCACACACCAAATTCTCTTTGTAGCTTCTGTTTTGTTATCAGCTCCCTGACTGCACTGATAATCCAGACCCAGCATAAGGTGCACATCAGTGCATTGCACAATTCCAGGCCCTCTTGGCACGGCACCAGACAGCAGCTGATTCACACACAAATGGAGTCACTGGGAACCTTTTCCCTGACCTCACAGGGCTTCGAGAAGGCCTGAGAAGACCATTTCATTAATCCTGTCATTTCCCTTGTGAACATCCCCAGGAAAGCTGGAGCACACAGATTTTAAGATCACACACTAGCAATGATGACAGGTTCACTGGTAAAGGGTGAGGAAACACAGCCAGTCTTTCTGGTTCCCCCTCCAGTTCCTCATATTTTGGGAGACTAATCCTTTTTTGGGGGGATCTGGTTAGATCTTTTTGTCACTACAGGGTGAAGTCCCATCTGGGAATTGTCCAGTATGAAAGTGTTTAAATGAAGATATTTCTCCATGGTCTGACAAGTGCCTCGTCTCAATGTGGTTTGTTCTCTGCTTTGTTTTCTTACATTTATACAAAAACTGCAAAGCATTTTTTACCTCTCCAGTTGTTTTGATCACTTCCTTTCCAATAGGAAATAGAATCCATAGCATCTTTCCCTTCTCGTAACACAGCAGAACTCATAAAACAATAAATAAACTGTCTCTTGTCTGCTTATTAGAAAAAAACATATTGGACTGCTGCCATCTTTTGGCTATGCTCTAAGATAATTGCTGTCAATTAGAAGTTGTTTTCTAAACCAAACACGGGAATAAAGTATTCTAAAGACATTTATGAGTTTGTGGTAGCAAAGGGAATTCTCTAGATAAATACAGATCCAGGAACATTTTATCTGTCGTCACTGAAGTTTCAGAAGCAACTTTAGTGTATTTTTACAAGAATCTCTGGGAAGGCCTGCTTGAGGCATCAGAATTTTAGGATACTTGAAAACATTACACTTTAATTTTTTTTTCATTACAGACTCATCACTAGATAACTTGTGATCCGTGTTTTTGCATTTCACTCTTCACTTTTTAAAATTATTTCACCACTTCCACAAACATATAGTTGTATTTTCTGAATTCTTTACCTATCTGTCCTTATGACGTTTGGGATTTATTATGCCCTCAGAAACCTGAATTATCAGAAGCCTTGAATGCTGATTTTCTGATCCACCCAAATTAAATGGCAACACGTGGGCACAGAGAGAGAGTAAACTCATGCTCCCCATTGGTTTGGCTTTTACGTCAGCTGATGAGCAATGACTAAAACTGCAGATTTCTACCACTGCTCCAGCTTTCTCAGACTGTGAATACATTCACAGCTGTTTCATTTAGGAGACCAGAACACAATGAATGCAAGGAATACAGCTGACAAACAATTTAGCAGCTGAATTTCAGGCGAGCTGAATAGCTCAGAAATTATCAGCCCAGCTGGAGCATTTCAGAAAGTGCTCAGGAAGATGTACACAAAAACTATTTTTCTTAATTTCATTGAAAAAATCAAGATGAGAGCCTCCTACTTCTTGGCAGTTGTTTGATAAACAGCAGAACAGATTAAAAAGAAAAAAACATATTGCAATGAAGCTGTGGTTTCTTGAGATTCTGTGATAATTCCTCTAGTCCATGCTGTCTGCAGCTGGAATGTCACAATATAGGGATAGAACATACATTTTCATGCTCAGGTTACAGAATATTTCCCACTTAGCCTTCAGCAATATATAGTCCACTATGCACCCAGCAGGTAGCTCTGATTAACCCACAAATATGAGTGTGTGGTACCTGGATCCTAGTAATTAGCTAAGATAGTAATGACCCCAGTTAAATGTAGGCACATGTGGCCACCTGATACACCTTTGGCACCCAAAATCAGCAGGACAGGTAAGTTAACACTATTCAGTGCATAAAACCAGTCATATCATTATGGAGCAGTTCAAAAGAACTGATCAATGCCAAAAGTATTCCAAAGCCACCTTTTTAGTGTGCCTGCAATATGATGGAGTTAGCTTTCTTGCTGTTATCAAATATTTATGTTAAGTTGCTGCCCAAAGGTACTGCTCTAATCAGTAGTAGAGATGCTTGTGTTTGGTAGTGCATAAATGCAGGTTACCTATATCCTGCCAGGCTTACAGTCCATTTATCAGGACATTTTTATTTAATTCATGAAGCTATAAAATGCAGTGTATTAACAAAACCCTTATGTTGCTGCTGGGGAACCTGTTGCACACAGGTTTGTCAGAAATGACAAACAGTGCTACAGTCAGTGGTACACAAGCACAAAGAAAATGGCTCTATCTGTGGAAAAGTCTCTGGATACCAAAAGGAGCAAAGGTACAGATAATAACCTGGAGGAATTAGGGTAGTAGGCAGAGGAATATTTTGCACAGACATAAAAAGTCTTCTCTATGAGCAATTCATTCTCTTCCATCTATCTGGAAGCTTTCCCAAAACCAACATTTAATTTCAAGACTCAGAAATTATGTTTCTTTCCAGGTAATTACTTTCTCTAGTAATAAATTTAACAGTAACAAAGTTAAACACAGCAAAAGATCTTTAAATATCGCAAAAAGTTAGCAGGAAACAGGCTTTCAGATATGGCTCTAGATACAAAGCACTGCTTTGTGTGGAGATACAGAACTCACTCAAAAATAGGTGTTGCACAAAAAATGCCAGCATGTCTTCAGGAATACACAGGCTGAAAGTATTTCTAATACATATTACAGTCCTATAATGTGTTAGTTGTACTTATTTCAGTGTATATCTACTCAGGTATTTAAAATACATAAAATCTACCTGACCCAATTGATGTCTTTACAAAATATATGTGCAGCCCACCTCAAAGAGATCATGGATACTGATGACACACAAACAGGAGAGAACTCCAGGTCCAGTTGTCTGAGCCCAGCAGCGACACCAGCTGTTCAGAAAATAACACCTTTGCCCTTTTGAACTGGCCAAAAGATGTTGTATAATGAGCAAGGACATGAAAATAAACATATTTGCAGTGGAGTTTCCAGTGTCACTCCTCAGGGTATAATTGTGGTTTATACAGTTGAAAAAAAGTTCTACCAGTGGAAGTGCAGAATTTTGACACAGCAGCTTGTGATGCTCCAGAGGAATAAACAGGCCACACTCACTGTCAAGCTGTGATATGTTACTGCAGCACATCACACTGAAAAGGCAGAAAGCAGACTTGCTATTCATTTCAAGCTGAAAGAAGAAGTTGAATTCATCTCAATATGGAATGAAGGCTTTAATGATGATTTTCCTCTTTCATTTCAAGGATCCAGGAAAGACTTCTATGAATTTTCATGTAAAACAGAAGAAGCATTTTGATATAAAAGTGGCACTTAATTTGTAACATTACCTAATTTAAAGTACTACTCAGCCAGCACTGCAGAGATTACACTGATTTTAATACACAAGTGTGTGTGAATTTTCCAGGTTGTGTTGTAGTGCACACCCACCAGGCTCAGTGGCCACAGCTGATGTGAGGGACTGTGCCTTCAGCATGGAAATAAGATTGATGCACGTTGAATACTAGAAACTAAACAGCCTGTAATACAATTTTCACTACTTCAGACTGTTCAAGTATTGCCTGTAACTTCTCGGTAGGTCTGTAATCAGGCACTGAGCCGACACAGCAGAATGGCTTTGTACAAAACAGGATGGCTTTGTACAAAACAGAATGGCTTTGTGGCACGTCTCTGAACACAGCAGACTTACCCACTTTGTTTCTAGTAATCACAGCTGATATTGGTGGCATTGCTGCTGAGGGAAAGCCACCCAAACACACACAGCTGCAGGAAATGCTGAACTACACTTGGGATGAAATGGGGAAAACAAAAAGAGCCATTTGCAGCTCTGAAATCTTTAATGTGGTCTACAGCCTGATTTGAAGTAGTGGCTTCATTTTCTCCCTTACCCACAGGCCCCAGGCTGAGATGAGGAAAAACACGGTTTAGGGCAAATTATTTCTGTTATTTATTGTGGTAACTACCTGTTACTCCCGCTGGGAGGGCCCGTCAACTCTCCAGACCTCAGTGGTACAAAAGGACTGACTGGGGCTCCCCAGCATATCTCCGAACTGTATAAACCAAACAAACCTGAAATGTATGTCTGGTCTCAGTTAATAGAAAAATGACAGAAAATAGAGCTTGGGAGGACCACAAGCAGCTCCATAATGACTCAGCACAAATAGCTGCAGCCTAAAGATATCACAGTCATGACCTAATTAGTTCTGAGCTTGCTAATTCTAAGAGACTTTAAACTGAATTATTGAGCTATAAAGAGCAGAATTGCAGCCTATCTCCACCAAGCAGCTCCCTTTTTTTCAAACCTCCATCTTTTAAAAGGCCTGCCAACCTCTGGAAACCAGTTATATCAGAATAAAAGGTAGGAATGATGCCCCCAGGAGTGCTAGTGAGCACAGCATGCACACCTTTCACAGAGTCAGGGTTGTTCCTCGCATCAGCTTGAGTAAACAAGAGGGTTTTTTAACATAATCATGTAAGCAAACTATACCAACAAATTCAAAATATCACAGAGAATGCCACGGTAATCTCAAGTATGCCATTATTATGGCACTACAAGAGTACAAGAAGAGGAAGAAAATGAAGTAGTACAACTGCAAAACAAACAACAAAGAAATGCAGGAGAAAATTACTGTCAGAGGATGAAGCATTTTGTATTAATAGGTCGTATTTTCTCCCACTTGCTTCTGACCAAAGCAAGGTCTTCTGTGCTCTTTTCCAGCGGTGCCTGCAGAACTGTGGTGCATTTGCCACAGTCAGGCTCCTTGGAGCTCTTCAGGGTGGGAACACAGCACAGCAAAAGGCAGGAGGGGATCACAGGGACTGACCCAGAACAGCAAAAGGCAGGAGGGGATCACAGGGACTGACCCAGAACAGCAAAAGGCAGGAGGGGATCACAGGGACTGACCCAGAACAGCAAAAGGCAGGAGGGGATCACAGGGACTGACCCAGCACCCTGCTCCACAGACATCCCA